AAGGACAGAAATAACTGCAGCTATTAAAAGTGATATACTGCTGAAATATTTTTGTGATTATGCTAAAAGTCGACTCCTTGAAAGAACTCTTCAATAGTTACTGCTTCCTCAAATAAAAGCTAGTTCACATGTGCACTCCTTCTTTTAAAATACACTGAATGGAGTTGCTTCTAAGTGTCAGATTTGTACTTCTCACTGCCCTTTTGAGACACTTGAAAAAGACACAGCTGAGAGAAAGAGGAAATTAGTAGATCAGGAAATAATCCATAATAAATCAAAAGACAGTTAATGTAGTCCTTTTTTTGTTTCTGTTATCATTAGATTGGGAGTAGTAAAGCAGAATTCATCAAACTTTCCAAAGACAATGCAGAGTCCTCCAAATCAGACAGTAACATTCACTTTGGTTTATTTGCATGAAACTAATATCTTTAGCATCTTCCTCCACCCCTCCTCTCCTGAAATGACGGATGTTTGAAGCTGAGATCGAGATACCTTAACCGACTTTAATAACCCCTCTTTAGTTCCAGAAGAAAGGAAATGGCTTGTAATACCATAAAGTCCCTGAGAGACACAGATTATTTCTTTTCCTTGTGACTTCTGTCTCTGCAGATGAGCTCTAACCCAAAGGCTATGGGACCTGATAGAAGAGCAGTGCTGTACCCATGCTAACAGGCTCTGCTGAAAGAAAGGGTGTAATAGCTCAGACTTCAACTAGACAATTTAATTCATACTCTCTGAGCTCTTATTTGCCTCACTCAACCAGACATGTTGGTGGAAAGTTTCATGTACTTCTTCAGGTCACTCTGGCTTAGAAAGCTTAGATCAGACTACTGTGAAACAGAAACACCATCATGGGCAAAGATGTTGAGTAGTACTAATAATCCTCATAATTAATGGGTAACGTAGATTTTTATTTATATGTTCAGTGAAAAAACACATTATAGACAGATAAGTGTTTTCTGAAAAAGAGAGTAATACTGAGAAATATGGTTGTTGCTACACTATCAATTAATAGTATGAGAATGTTCACATAAAAGGCCAGCCCTGTGGATTGCATAAATCAATATAGGATTGAGCTCATGTTGAGTCATATCATCAATAACCTTGCAATACTATTTTCATTTTTGTCATTCCCACCTAAAAGCAGACTAACAGTAGCTGAGAGTAGTGTGAACCACTCTTTAAAATATTCCCAACCAAACAAGGGAGAGTCAATGTGATTTCCATTTTGTTGCTGGAATTCATTCCCTCTCTGGATACTGCCAAACCAACCCAACTAGGAATGACTCATCTGCAGGGTCTCATAAAATACTTCTGAAAGGCTTGTGTTTTGCCTTTGGAATGCAATGGATTACACCAATAGTTTGTGATGCTCCAGCGTGGGGGAAGAGGACATCCCTGACTCTTCCCTACAGAAATATTCCCAGTCTGCACTCTGCAGTATTAACTGCATGCTCAGTTTATTCCCCACTACCTTAGAAAAGCACTGAGCATTCATTCCTTTGGTAAAAATCACCCTCCCACTCTGATTTTGCTTCTGAGACAACATTTTTTTGCTTGCAAAAACAAGTTAACAAATTGCCCAGTCCCTCACTCTTCCTTGTTTTCGTATTTCTAACCTTGTGGTAAAGAGATGTATGATGAGCTGTAGAGCAAAAAATCTGGGACTCACATCTAAAATACCATCAACACATAATGCAAAAATACAAAAACCCAAAAAAGGGCAAAAATAAAACATGTAGAAGAAAAAAATATTCCATAGGAGGTGAGAGTAGAAGCCAGCAGAACTGTTTTATTTAGAAAGGATCTGATAGATCACATGGCAGTTCACATGAATCAACAAGTAAACATGTCCACTTGGTTGATAGTCATTTTTCCTTTAACTAAACATTTTTCCATTAACTGAAATTGAACCCAGTATTTGTAGCACAACATATTGTAGAGCTATGAAATTTGCTACCATTTAAATTGTATTAATGAGCCAACAATCTAATATGACTTTTAAATTGGGTAAGAATTTTGTATTTACAGAATACACCACCCCTCACATTTAAGGACTGAAATCAAATGTTTTGCTGATTGGAGTTAGAAAAAACATCATTGCTAGTAGATTTTTGCATTATCTGTCATGGCTGATAGACAACTTTAGTTGAAGTCACTGGGTTCTGGCAGCTTTCAGCAAAGGCCCTTGGAAAGCCTGTTCTGATTATGACAATTTCAATGATCCTATGTAAGATTACAAAAAGTCACAGAAAGACGTAAAGAAAATTAAGAAATTCTATAGTAATCATCTCACATCTGTATAATACACCAGGGGAGACAGAAAAATATTGAGGTTCCTAGCTTTGAGAATTTACCAAATGTGCACAAGAGGTATCTGAAGTCATACCTCCAGTCAGCTCCTTAGCTGTTGAGAGATGTTTCACATATCTATCTCTATTGATGTAATTGGAACTCCCAATGTGAAATTTCTTAGAAGTTTCTTAGAAATGGCTTCATAAACCTATTTATTGATTTGGCTTCTCAGAAGCAGCTTGCAAGAGCTCCTTGAAAGTCACTCCTGAAATAAGTTTCTGTTTGCTTGTGTCTTGTTCTGTGAGCACAAAAATCAAAAGGCAAGAGGTATATTAGCATCATGTAGGATTTATGGAGATGTCTTTTTTATAGAAGGTCTTTGGAAAGGAAAATAGAGGCTTATTGGGAACATACACACAAAGTACTGTGTTCATCGTATCTGGGCAACCTAGCTATAATGATAAGGTGTGTGTTCATCTCTAGCTGTTGAGCTGGACTGTTATAAGATCATGTATTGTGGAACAAAAATTGGGCCTCTCTCTCAGAAAACCTAGAGAAATGACCAAATCAGGACTGAATAAGGGAATGTTTCTCTAGCAAAATGGTAATATAAATGATATGGGGCTGACTAATAATACAGTTGGTTTCCACTAACAGAAAACCATTATGATCTACAGAACTGAAATCCAGACTCTGAGCTAAGATACTATTTTTTTCTTATTTTCCGTCTGAGTCAGTTAGAACAAAACCTGTGTTCAAGAGACCAAGTTGCTTGCTTTTTGTTTCCCCATTTAATCACGTGAGGGTATCCCTGTCCGATCTGAAGATACGCAGAAGATATTTCACGTCAAAAGCCCCATAATGGTGGTTCAAAGAAAGTTCCCACTCATAATGGGTTTTAACACAAATTATCAGTGGACAGTTTGACCAAGTAAATAAATAGTTCTCATGGGCAGAACTGATTTTATTTAGCTGAAAGAGGATGAAATCAGGATACACGTACAAGTACAGTGCCAAACGTGTCTCTCAGTTCACAGGTTTTAAGGTTCCGGTTCTAAAAAGGGGTACATCCAACTTAATGTGAAGACTGGACAGAAGCTCAGCCATGCCAAATCTCTGGCCACCACTTTGTCCTATGTGTGTGTTTCTAATGGAGACTATAGCCTATCTCATTGCTTTCAACGTAGTGAGTCATACCTCCCCTATTTAAGTGTACCTACTTTAAAACCTAGATAGAAATTTAAATTCATATTGAACACATTGTTATGTCTGTAGTCAGTCTTCCTTTGTGTACTCAGAAGGGCTACCCTGAATCTGGTTATTATCTAGTTTAAGGATTATTCTTCCTGGAAATGCAGTGGGGCAACTCTTCTCTTGAATATTTTGTTCAAAACATTAAGCTGCATGTACATCATAGAAGAATTTGAACATGGGATCTGAGCTAAGATCTTAAGCAGTCTGAAAGAACACATCGACTGCCAAATATAATCTCCAGAAAAATACAAGTTCTCATTTCAAAGGTAATACAAACACACATGCACGCGCACACACACACACACATATATATGTATATAAATCTGTATGGCATATTTGCTATGCAGGCTTAGACTCCTTGTGAGGTTGTTTTTCAGTATAGCAAATTAGAAAAATATGCCTAGAATTAAAGGTTACTTAATCAGGTTGAAGCAGCAACTTCAATTCCAGCAACTCCCTCCCACTATGTTACATCTGATAATGTACCCAAGTCCAAACATAAACTTAGTTCAAAAAGATGTTTGGTCCTTGAATGTAAAATGACACTTAGCCTACACAATTAGCCAGGTAATACATATCCTTCCAAGAGAAGCAATTTTTACCGCAGAATTATCTGCATTTTACTAATCTCTGATTGTTAAGTTTTACTTGCTGAAACTTTTCCATATGGCTTTTCAAATACCACTGACCTGTATTTAATTACCACAGAAGGATATTAATGAAGAGGTTGGAAATTTGGCCCAAGCCCCGTTCTACAGTTTGGACAGTTTGATGGAGCCAATGAGCTGAACACTTTTATTGATGGGAGGCTGTGCCATCTCACACACAAAAGCAGAGGCAAAAGAGGAATAAACAGACATACAAAAATAAAACACCCAACAATTTTTGAATTGTCCATAAACTTCTAAACCAGCATAATCATAAAGTAGCGCTGAGTGAAGTGAAGCACTGTTTTGCTAACCTAAAGGACAGTCAGACACAAATTGGTGGAGTAGTTCTTGTAATCGAGACCATTTTGATCAAGCTGTAAGTCAGACACATGTCCAAAAATGCGAAGTGTGTTTCCCAATATTAAAGGCAAAATATTGAGCAGAACCAGGCAAGGGTAGGCAGCTTGAGTGCAGAGGATGCAAGGAAGTTAATGTGGGTGGGAAAGCATGTGTTGCTGCCTGGATGAGGAAGTGGTACACCACAGTTACTTCATAAGTGCAAGGGCTTTATAAACTAAATCTCCTAGGGACTGTTTTAAATAGACAAAGAATGACACGCAGCCCTGACAGGCTTTTGTTTGAGAAGGCTGTTTGCCTTCTAAAAACACAGGACTGCCACTTGTACTTTTTCCAAAAATGCCTATTTTTAACCTCAACCTCTTCATATAAACAGTGGAAAGATGTGCTATGTAGTAAACTCTGTTTTGTCTAGCATGAAATTAATGACTTCCTCAGTCTTACCTGACAATGGAACACATATTCTGGTGTGGTTTTCTTGAACTTCATGTTCCATACTAAGGCTACCCCATCAGGCTCATGTGGAGCATCTTCATTATTGTTATAAGATGCAACCATCAACTCAGGGTACTAGAAAGAAAAAGAAAAAGCAAATGAAATAAGATAGATGATAAAAACCTATGCAAAATCATATGAGACAGAAATAATCTACACTAAATATTCAATATCTATAATACATGTTAGTTCAATCATATTACTCTGCTTCGTTTTGGTTTATATTTTACTTGTCCCTAACATCCTTAAAGCCCCTGATAATTGCTCTCTATCAGTTATTCTCAGATATCACAAAGGCAATGCTAGTTTCTGAAGGTAATTCTCAAAAAAGACAACTTTCAGAATTTTTGTGAAGGGAATGCAAAGGAAGGAAGAGGAAAAATCTGAAAGCTTGAGTAATTTTAACATATTTGCTTAACCATCTCTTCAAGGACAAACTACTGTCTTAATTGATTTTGATAGTAAAAACACTATGATCATGGAGTTGACTTGTTTTATTCTGAAATTCACTTTTTTTCAGCATTCCTGAAAACTATTCTTTCTTATTTCATTATGCACTCTTATTTACTTATGCATAGAATCAACTGGAAAACTCTTCTTGATGATTCAAATGGCAAAAAAACCATTTTCTTCACAGAAGCTCAATTTTGCAAGATGCTGAGGTCATCATACAAAGCACAGGGTGATCTTGAATTCCACTGACTCAGTGAGATTGATGCAATGAGCACTCTAAAATCAGATCCATATTTTCTTGTACACCCATTATCCACTGTTGTATAGAAGTAGATATGCAACATATATATATGTACTTGCTTTCTTTATATATATACACACACACAATATCATATATGAAAAATCAGATTTTCACATTCTTTTGATGACCTTGCATCATTTCAAAACACCATAAGGACTAACAATTTGTCCACAAAACATCAATTACTTTCAGTCTATACAATAACTTCTAGTTCTCCACTCTCACATGTTGGATACTAGGCACCTCTGGTAACCTCTGTCCTTCCCTCTAAATAGTCAAAGCAGTGGACCTTATGGCATGTCCAGAGAAAAGCATGTGGCTTCTGCAGACCAACGAGCCAGCAGCTCAAGTTCTGCAAGACCCACACTCTCCTTTTGTAAACTAGAAATGCTTTCCCTCAAAATTTCTCGATAATATCTGCAGATAATTGTCACTTTTTGTCTTTCCCAGGTAAATTCCTGCCTAATCATTCACCACTTTACAGGGGAACAGTACAGCTGGCACATGCAAAGGGAGCGGGACAAATAAACTGCCAATTGGGAGCTGTGAATTTGGTCCAAAGGCATTTTAACAATTAAAAATCCCTAAACCACCGCCCTTTTTGTTGGGGTTTGAACCTCTCTGCTCTCAAAATCCATTTTGAAGAAATAATGTAACTTTTACCATCAGCAGCTGTTACTTCCCACTTTCTGTACACTTCCATGGATAATGCGTCACAGAGCTGATGATTTTTCTATTCAAGCTCATCGTTCCAAATGAGCCTGGACCCACAGGCAGAAGAACCAGCAATGACACGTGGCCACCATAGCCTCCTCTATCACAATTTGAGGCAGCTCTGACTGGGTTGGACCTACATCCCTGGCTGCTGGCACAGCCTGTAAGGACAATTTAGCACCCAATTCACTTGCATGGGATTTAGGGGATGCAGCAGACCAACAACTCTTCTCCTTCCTCAAGAACGGAGGGAAACCTGAGAGTGAATTAATCCCACACATGAGACACCACCTCTCTGGACACACTGGTACCAGCCTGCCCTCCAGTGTTCTCATCCATCTCACCCCTTTCTTCTCTGTCTCTCCTGCAACAGATATTACAACCACTTCTGAACAGCGAGCTCAGCTTCTCCTTTGAATCTTTTCATCCCACACTGGCCCATGTCCAAGTAAACAGCATGTGCAGTAGGCTCTTGACAGGGCATCATGTTTTGGCTGAACAGATTAGGTACCATTCACGTGAGCAGCTGAGACCATAGACGTAAAGGGGCAGACACCTTGGCAGGCAGAAGTGAAAGCCCTTCCACCAGCATGACTGCAGCCAGCTAGGGTGTGTGACTAGGTCCAAAGTGCCAATTTTGAGGCACTTTGGGGCTGGTAAATGCTCCTGGGAAGTTTAGCAAGCATAGTTAGCAGCATGTCTGGCCATAAACAAACACTGACTCAAATCTTGCTATATGTAGATTTTGCAATCAGTTTATGTATTTGACTGAAAATACAGTTTACACAGTTGCTGGGGTCATACCTAGCTGGATAACACCATTATGAGGCTTTGTGACTCATAAAACAGAGCTAAATGCAGCACCCTAAATCTTCTCTGGCTTTGTGCACTCCAATGCTTCACTCAATCTACTTGCATTTACAGAATTTCAGTCCTCACCAGGTAGCCAGATGTCCTGTGACTGCAACTGAAAACAACACGGAAATGGTGCTGTGCAAAACAGCATTCAAGGCTGCTGCCTGAGAGTCAAGAGAGACATATCACTATTCCAGAGACTGTGGTTTTCTTGGTAAGTTAGCTCCCATGGACAGAGTAAGGTGATCCCACTCTTTCTTTGTGTTTACTCTCAGTCTGTTGGGCCTTTCCCTAAGATCCCTAATGAAGCATCTAAGCCATTTTCCTGTTGCTCTGTGAAAGAATCAAGGGGCTAGTGGTTAGCTTTACTGGTATGAATGATCCCACATGTTTGAGACTGTATTTTACATGAGACTGGGAACAGAATAACTTGTTTAATCAATGCATCAATGTCCTTTGTTTGATTAAGTTTCTATTTGCCTCGAGGCTGTTTCGCAGAAGCAGTTTTATCACAGAAAATTGAGCAACGTGTTCTGCAGTTCTCATGATTATTCAAGTTATTCTTTGACACACTGGACATTGTCATATCCTGGAGCATGTGTGAGAAGCAGAGCTAGTGGTTAGGTGAAATACCTCTCCCTGGCTCCAGCTCCTGTCCCATGGATAAAACTCAAAGCAGGCAAGAGAGGAAGCAACTCCCAAGCTACTGTAGAGCGGCATGCAGAAGGCCTCTGGCACAGAAGAGCCCCTACTGGAGTGCCAGGGAGCTGTGTGTGAGGAGTTAACAAAGGGGAAGGCAGGAGGGGCCACCCTGGAACAAAGAGGTGGGAAGCAGAACATGCCTTCGAGCCCCAGGGGCTGAGCAATTACATTTGGCAGTGCTCTTCTGAGGCGGCTTTTTTTCTTGCTGCCCTGGGAATACAGTAAGAGCTGCTTGTTAGGAAAATATCAGATAAGAATTCCATGTAATTTCCAGCCCCTGAACAAGTGAACAACCTAAGATAAGTGTTTCCTCGGGCTTATATTTGATTTCTGTAGAAATCCATATGTGCTTAAAGGCCACCCACATCACAACAGTGCATACCTGTTGTTAGGCTGATATTTTGTATGAAAGCAAAGGTATAAATCATTTCTCACATAGAGAGCAAGCTTGATATTACAAGAAGCCTTTCTGCAGCTGGTTGTTGTGCACCACCCCGATCTACTCAGCCTACCAGCCACAGTTGCTGTCACCTTACCTGAGAAGTACCCAGGGGGATGGAAGCAGCTCTGCTGCCATTTCGAGGGGAGGGAGAGAAAGATGGATGTGAGAGTCACCGTGCTCCTTATCCACTGCCTCTCTCCAGCCCTCACACACCATTTACGTACTGGATCTTGAGTGCTTGCTGTGTCCACATGCAGACATGTGGTGCAGAAAGAGCAACTACTTCTAAGATTAGGCAAAGGTTGTTCTTAACACTGGGCTGAGCTACTTCTATAGCACCTTTGCTACCCACACCAGGCTCCACTAGGTCTCTGAAGACCCAAGGGCACACCTGAGGCCGAGTTTGGGTCCAGCTAGGCAGACTGGCTTGTGCTTGCATTTTCGAACTCTATGTCCTCTTGGAGCAGTTTTTTTGTATCTGTACTGTGCACTTAAGACCAGAGTCCCTTGGTTCTCTCCCCAGGGAAAGCAGATGCTTTGCTCCAGGCTGGAACATAGGAACAGGCTGATAGGGATGAAACAGAGAGAATGAGGGGGGCTGGAGTGAAACTGGAACCAAATTAATTTAACAGGATGTGTGGTGATGTGTGTGTGTGTGCTAATCCCAGCTCTCCAATAGAGTAACTAATTAACATGCTTTCTGTACTTTGCTGATGTGACTGTATTGGTTTTGGAAAGCTTAAGCAGCTCTATCATCAGTTTTATTTTGCAATGACAATGCTTTGTGGTGCACAGAAACTGGGTACATTCCAGGCATGTTGCTTTAGTATGCCCTGTGGGCAGCTGCAGCCTCCTTTTCCATTGCTTGAAGAGAGAACCCAGCATTTTTTGAAGGACCTCTTTTCAATCTTTTCAAGTTGTTCAGACACTTTCAGATTTTTAAAATCATAGAATTATAGAATATGCTAAGTTGGAAGGGACCCATTAGGATCATCGAGTCCAACTCCTGGCCCTGCGCATGACACCCCAAGAATCACACCACGTACCTGAGAGTGTTGTCCAAATGCTTCTTGAACTCAGATAGGCTTGGTGCTGTGATCACTTTTGTTTTAGTATGTTAGTAGATTATAAAAATTAATTTTATTTCTCACTATCCTTTTTTTCTATTTTATATATTACTATGTATACTTATTTATTAAATCAATTGTTTAGTAAATTAACTTTAATTAGTTTAATTTTAAACCTTTTATGCTAAAAAATTTCCATGTGCTGAAGGAGCAGAAAGGGGAGGAACAGTAAAAAGTAAAACTCCACATTAGTAGGTTTGTTAACCTACTACCATTTTAATAAAACATTCTGGTTTTGAAGACCAAGACCAAGACATTCACAAAAAATGACAGGTTCATTATTGTCCCATTACTCTTTTTTATAGAGAAACATGCATTCACTCATCCAGGGCCCTCCTGTTAGCTAAAAAATAACATCCTACTCTTCATAAAAAAGAGCAAATCAAGGATGAACATAAGTTTTTTAGGGAGAAGTGGAAGTGATATGGAAGCATGTCTCCCAGCTTCACATCTTACCTGAAGAGACCAATCCATACAGGTGACAACACGATGCTTTGACCAGTGCTCATCATAAAATTGTCGATTGAAGGAAAGATTGGCTCCTGCTTGAACATCTCTGTGTGAATTCAAACAAAGTGACAAATCTTGAAGTACCAGGGTTCAAAAACTGTGAAAAGCAATGCAGAAGTTTCTGACTACTTCTCAGTTCTCTGCCCAGCCTGGGGAAGTCTGTCACCTTGATTTAATTGCTCTCACAGACTGTCTTGCTGAAAATGAATCTGCACCAAGGAACAAATTTTACATCTGTTTCACAAAACCACATTTCTTAATTTCTCACTGCCTTTCTGACTCTTCTGGGTCACCCTAGGCCATCTCTGCACCCTTTGACTCTCAGGATGAACCTGGCCCTGGCATTCAGCAAAGGAGATGGCAGATGCTACAGACAGGCTGAAGTATAGTACTAGTCCAACATTGTCACACTGATGCATTTTGTCAGTCCACAGGGATGATGCTCTAGAGTAACCTCCAGTAACTTCAGTGCAACATAGCTACTGATCTGCCATGAGGCTTCAACAGATATGTAGCTGTTGAAATCTAAATACTTCGTCTTCTCCTAAGAAGTTTTAATGCTTCTGCTCCCCTACCAATTGCTGAATACAAAACCTGTCACTTCTTATCTTAGCCATTTAGATTGCAAATACTTTGGGAAATCATCCTTTTCATCCCCACAAAGCATAGTCCATTACAGGTCTGAGACAGTAGTAGAATATAAACAACATTAGTTTGAATTTGTAAAGGTGTCATAAAGCACACACATGTACACCACTGGAATGTATGCATTTACATATACATGTATATATACACACATTTATCTGTTTCAGTTATTTGTTCAGAATTTGAAATTTCATCCCAAAAATGAATCAAAGAAATAAGCCAGCTGAATAATATGTCAAATAACCCCCCCTCCCCAGTTCAATAAAGCACAAAGCTCTTTTACAATATGATTTCAGATAACAAAGTAACCCAGGCTTTCATGCAGAAATGTCAACCTTTTTTTAACTATAAAAATGTTAAATTTTGTTTAAAATTAAGGCTTCCTGTCTCTGGAATTATCTCTAGAAAGCTTATTTTTAAAAGCAAAAAAACCCCCAAACTGACCCATCTTTTTCTTCTACATCTCTGCCGCTATAGTCAAAGAAGATATCTGAATCTTCAGCCAAAGCTCGCTCAATTACACGTATTGTCCGATCAAAAAATATCAGGAATTCTTCTGAATGGAGAACTTGTTGTTTCTCTTCTTCTGTCAGTTCTCTAGGAGGAGCTTGGAAAATGAAAAAATGTAGTTAAGAGTATGACATTTCACCCCTTTCCCAATGAATCAACATCTTCAGTGGGTTTCTTTTGACATGAAAGTATGCTGTAGCAATGTCAGAAGAAAAATCAAAGCTTTACACTTAAAATCATGACTAAGAAGTTTTTAATATATCTAAACATACTCCTGTATAATCCCAGAATGTAGCATTTACATAGAAGAGATCCTATATCTTATATATTTATTATTCTGAAATGGAAAATACTTAAACCCCCCAAATTAAATAAACTCAGTGTTCCTATTTCAGGAAATGGCCGTGACTGACATTTAGGCAATACCTAACTGGAAAAAGCAGAACACTTATGTAACAGGGGACCTGTCAGTGAAGCCGAAGATAAAATAATCTTCTAAACTTATACTACAGTTCTTTGTATTAAAAGGGCTCACATAATTTCTCCCTTCACTTCTTCCAATTTCTACTTGCTGTCACTGATAAATTCTGCCTTTGCAAAGCAATGAAGTAAATAACCAAAGATACTCTGTGAGGCAGCAAAATTGAAAGCAACCAGCCAAACACCACTTTCTTCAAGGCAATGTTATTCCTTACAGAGGAATCCTAAGACCCAGAGCAACCAGTGTTACTGAGCCTTGGGCAAAGCTGCCCTGGGAGGGGTAGGTGCTGTTCTAGGCACTGGTCAGGATAACCTGACCTCTACAAGATGAGGTTACTTCTTTACACATACACAGAGATGCTAAACCTTTACTTCCAAACTAATATTTCCAGTGGTCCTTCATTTGAAAAATACAATCTTTGTAGGATGCACCAATGCAACATCTCCACCAGTTTAATGACCTGTTGGTAAACTACAACCTAAATGAGAGCATCAGGTGAAAGGAAATTGGGATAGTGCTATTGCTACAGTCCAAATTTCTGTTCTCAATTACACTAACAGGGTCATATTGATATTGTGGCAATATTGCATATCAATTATGCCTTTGCCCACACGTGCTTTTAAATCATCATTTTCATTAAATTTCAAAACTACTTGTATTTCAAAAAATGCCATTAGTATCTTCACAGTTACACCAAACCAACCTTTCAATTATCTTAAATTCTCAGCATGGAAAGATCTTTTGACATCATAAAAATTATGATAACATTGAATTTTGTTTCACATTTATAATTAGGAACACAAACAACATATCATAAACAGATTTATTGCAAAATTACAGAGACTTGTACTTAGAGTTTAACTAGTGATCAAAGGTCTCCTTCATTTGGCTTTACACTACAGATTTGAGGTGTTTACTTGTGAAAATGACCTTGTGGTCTCCCTAGGACATATTGGATTAAAACACCAGCAGCCAAAAAGTGGAATTCAGCAGCTCAGAGAACACCCACTATACTTCAAAGTTTAACTCCCAGCCCTGTCATACGTATCTCAATGTTTACTTAAACAATGAATGACACAGTTTAAAGCTGCATCTTAAAATTATTTTCCAGTTGTGGTGCAATGCTACACAGCTTCTTTCTGATTTTCCCGTGCTTCATCCTAGATTCATATGCTCCAGTGCCCAAGTAGGATGCCACCACCAGCCCCCAAGGCACGAATGGGTGGAAAGGCACAACAGCAGGCAGGAGTACTGACATGGTCATCATTACCACAGTACTCAGCCCACCCAGGTTTCAGTGTACCTGCTTTCAGAGATGTTGTGGTTTGGAGAGGCTGCTATCACCACACTTAGGTTTGCCTCAAGTGTTCAAAGCGTTAGCTCTGAAAGACAAAATCTCTGCACTACACCTGAGCTAAATATAGAGGGTCAGAGAAATGCAAAAGATGGAGGAACAATTTGGCCCTCAGGAGACAGAGCAGCTAAGAAGTTATAAGCTTTAGCCTTTGATGATATCCCATGGCCTTGGCCCTGTGTCTCCTACCAGCAGGTTAGTGGTCCCTGTGGAGCTTCACACATCCAGAGAATATCTATGTCCCCCTACATGGTCTCCCTGAGTAGCAGAGCAACAATTACCAAGGCAGGAGCACAATTTGCCTCTAAGTGCTTTACACAGAAGTAAAGCATGTGAAAAAAAAGAGTGACCAGCAAAAAGTACAGGTTGACCTATTGCAGCATCCACTGCTGAATAGTAATTGTCACTAAGGGAACTCATCTGGCAAAGAAACCTGTGATGAGGCAATATTCCATCATCACCCCAAAAGCATTGCTTTCCGAGAATCAAAGACAACAAACATGACAATGCAGCAAAATGGCATAAAAAGGGGGGAAACAGCTGCAAAGGCAACTGGAAAACTCATTTTAAACTGCTCCAAATGGTAAAAATTATTTGTTAAAGCAAATCCTCTCTACAGCTTGGAAATATAAATTTATTACTCAGCCATTTGCCGACTATAACTGCAAAGAAAATACAACCAAAAATCAATAGAAAAGGAAAAGACAAAAAATAAACATCTTGGGAGCTGTGGAGTGCTCACAAGAAGTGGAGACAGACGATTGTAGTTCTACCTCAGCAAAATCTCCCTTGCAGTTAGCAACGATCTGTGGGAGGCCAGCAGTCTATTAAACCATCAGGAACACCTTGGCTGAAGTTTGTAGGGCATAAATCAGCTTACCTCATTCATCTGACTGACACACCAGATGCCCCCTGGCGATATTAAGCTTCATATTTTAACCTTATTTTCTTCTTTCATTCGGCTGCCTCTGAAGTTTTATTTGAGGCAATCTCTTCTTACAAGAATGTTAACATCATTACTTTTTCCAGAGTAAAACATTGCTGTAACTACTGTAAATGCATGAAGTATAAGCAAAAAACACAAAACAGACAGGTTTTCAAATATGAAGGTTTTCTAACCATTTATCTTTCAGAGCCATTTCCATTTTCTCCTTGTTCCTTCTCCCTGTCCATTACCTTGAATAAAATAAAAAGAATCTATGTAATTTTCTGCAATTTTTCTTCCGATCTGTGAGCTTACAGTGACTTTGATCTCAGCTTTCAAGAGACACAGGCTCTCTTCAAGGAAAATTCTGGGAAACATAAGTAGCTGATCAAAGTATATTTTTGTTTTGTTTTGTCACAGAGACCTATGTGATGTGACAATATCTTCAGAAATTCCCCGTAAGAATGCAGCATTTGTCTTCAAATACCTAGTCTCCCTGGCACAAAACCCAAACCAACCACATCTAACCTTCTGTGTGTAACAAAGCCCAGCACAATGTGGAGTTTACCACTGCAAAAAGTTACGTGCTTATTGCCTGGAGTGCAATGAAAGCTCCTGCAAAGGAAGACCCACAATTTGCTCTTGCTTCTGCACCATTGCTTCCTAATGAACTGTTGTGCCTGTGCTCTGATCCCATCCGGAGGAGCTGATTCCACCTGTGGCCCCTCACAGCTTGCAGCAGGAGGACCTGTGGTGCAGCCACCAAGTCCTGTCTAACAGGAGCACTGGGCATCCTGTCTGTCCATGAACCCATGGAGACATTGATGGGACCATGTACCCATGAGTAGAGTGCTGTGTAGGTGGCTCTGGGGTTTTGAGGTCAACAACATATATCAAAGAAGCCCGGTGTTTATGCTAATGTATAATACTGTACAAAATCAAATGGATTTTGCAATTAAAATTAAATCACTGTGCAGTTATATATGCACAGAGGACGCCACAGGGAAAGAAAATATGAAGTGTGTCTGTAATGAAAGACATCATACACTAGTGTTTGAATAGAAAGGTCTAGAATATGTAACAATAATTGAACATGATGTGAAAACAACCAATTTATTCAAGACTTATTTACAAAAAATAGGAACATTTTATTATTTCACATGGTTTAACATGATCCTCAGAAGTAACATGTTCCATATTGGGTCCTTTTTCCATAAATTTCTTTATACAAAACAGAAAAAAAATTTATGTTAAAACATTTTCATGAGTTTTTAGGAACTAAGATAAAATTACTGCAGACTTGTTCTTACTCTGCAGAAACATATTTGTAGTAAATATAACATAAATAGTTGAGATCACAGTGAAAGATGAAATTCACAAATATTCAAATACCAGGATTCGAGTCTTCTTCCAAGAGAGTCAAAAAGACATTAAAAAAACCCATATTTAAATAATTATAATAGACTATAAAAAAGATTCTTCTCGAATCTCAGCAATTCTAAAAACCTGACAAGAGAATTGAAGTCCATTAAAGAAAAGAAAAAAAAAAAAGAAAAATATAAAAAGGAATAAGTGAACAAAAGAAAGGGCAAACTAGTAAGAACAGTAAAGCAGGAAGCAGCCTTGTTATGAACCCAGAGATATAACAAGAGACAGAAGAAGATTAGTAAAACCCCTTTAAGAGCTGTATTATTCTTTCAGCATCTATTTAAATCCATGTAAACTTTAGATGTGCTGATGAGTGAGGATGGCCGAAAGGTACAGGGTGAGAACGACAATGTGTGAAGAGGCTCCCAGCAGCTTCCAGTCCTTGCCTGCTGAGAGCTTGTTTTTCCTGTACTTCACACTTTCATGTCAGGTTAGGTTTGATATATTCCATAACCAGCTTTGTGCCATATCATGGTTTCATATATGTCATATCTTGGTTGTGTTGGCAAGCCCCCACATGGCATAACTGCTGAACACATAAAAGAAGATTTCAAGGTGCATTTAGGGATTTTTTGATTCTGGAGATGCAGAACCTTAAATCTGGATCTGTGGCAGGCAGGGCTGTTCCCATCGACTGTACTTCTCCAGGAGCCATGCTGAGCACCATTCCTGAGCATGCCTGAGTTGGGCTGCAAGGATGGGTTGGCACACCTGAGCTTCCTTGGTGTCAGTGGCAGTGAAATTGTGGCATCACTGGTTCTTAAAAACCTCACCACAACCTGTCCTGCTTTCCTGATACTGATGCCTGAGCTGTCGAGAGCTAAACCATCTCCACCAGCATGGCCTGCTATGTGAACACCCAAGCACCATGTGTAAAGCCAGGGCAAGAGCAGGGCACAGCAAGTCTTTGGAGCTGCAAGTCCCAGCCTTCCCATCACAGCCTTTCATGCAAGTTTCTGTGAATATACCTATGGCTTCGGAAAAATGCAGATTGAGGCCCAATTTCAAGACCCAGCACATCCCATTGGTCATGTGGTTTCTACTGACACAAAGAGGAGCCTTAGGTGGAGCTCCAGAGCTCTCTGGTGGTAGAAAGCCCCATCCCAGTTGATGCCACAGTTTGAGACCAGTGTTTATGTGGTCAGGAGAGGCTGTGAACAGGCAGAGCCCATCCCAATTCACCATCAGGTATCCCACAATTGGTTCTTCCAAAAACAGTGGGGAGAACATGCACCTGAGACACAGGTGACAACAGGCAGCCCCATGGAGGAAACACAAGGTGGCCCCGAGGTTTCATATGCTTCAAGTGGTCAGCCAGTCAGTTCTTCATTTCCCACTCCACTCTGGAGGGCTCAAGCTGTACCTTTGCCCTTTGCATCTCCTTGGCAAGGAAGTTCTGCAAGAGGTACCAGACAGGTTGCCTCATTGCAGCTACACTGTGTGCATTATGGTGATGCTGAGACATGTCCAGAACTAGGGTCAGACCCTGTGAACACCCATGACTGCTGAATAATCCCACAAAACCCCATAGAGCAACTGTTGGGGGAGTGTAAGATGAGGAAATTAAGCATGCTATAAATATCTGTAGAATTAAATTGGCCTACCTATAAACCACAGAGAAAAAAAAAATCACATTTCCTCTTAAAATACCATTATAAAAATAGAGGACCCCTGACCTGTTGGCTTGGAGAGAGGAAGACTCAACAGACTAGATCCAAGCTCTGTTTTTTATCTTAACCTATTTTTGAGTTTTATTCATGAAAAATTGTCTGTCTTTCCCTTCCTGCACTTCTCTCTCCCATGGATTTTTTCTTACACTTCTGTAACTCAAAAAAAGCCATGCTGATTTTTTTTAATCTGTTAAAAAATGTGCTCCCTGAGCTGAAACCAAATTTCAGCCCAGAGCAAATTTTTACGGCTGGGTTATAAATCCCTGAAAAACAGGATTCATAATGGAAGTGCTGACACAGCCTTAACTACTATATAGCAGTGTGAATGGCGCCACTATAATATCTATTAGAGATTCTTTAAAAAGTTTGCAAAATATTGTCTTGCCTTGCAGAGAAAAAGAAGCCAGAGTACTTAATGCCAACATAAACATGCTTTTAACCCATTATGTGCTAATTTGCAGAAAAGCTATTAATTCTGAGTAGGCACACAGAGTGCAGCACCGACAGGAAATGTTCTTCTAAACTCCTGTTTGACTTGTAACATGGTTTTAATCACTTCCATGAAACACAAACGATGGCTTCAAACTCTGAATGTTGCTCAGAACATGAGAAGAGTGATTACAACAGAGAGGAAAATGGGATTTTGTAGTCAAAAGGGCTAAAGCCAACAGGGAGAGAAGGACACTGAACACTAAAAAAATGAGACTCCATTTTGTGTCAGTTGGGGGATGGCAGCTTCGTTTGATTCACAGCATTAAATGCCTATCATCAGCATGCCACTATTTTGTCCATCACAACACGTACTGCAGGTCAAGTTCACTTTCTATCAGGCAGTGAGCATGTTTTCTTCTTCCTTGAACCCAGTCAAATGTTAGCACCACAGAAAGCTGGTTCTGCTAAAACAAGCTGTGCCTTATTTTTACAGCCTGCAGTTTGTGTGTCTGAGACGAGTGCTAAACCAGCTGATCTTCCGCTCCTGGGGGGGTCTGCTAGGCAGGGAAGGGGAGCACTGCCCCCTGACTAAAACACAACAAAGAAATTAAAGATTTTGGCAGTGGTGGTTAGTCAGCAAGGTACACAAGAGGTTAATTTGAAAGCCCACAAGAAAGTAAAATAAATCAGTTCAAGATTGTATTTTGATTTTTTCTTCTCTTCATGCTGGAGTTTGTGCTTTCTCCCCATGTATAAGCGTTAGTGCTACTTTTCTGTGGGAATAAATGGGTGTCGTATCAGCTGTAAGTTGAATACTGGAGGGACATTCAGCGACTCAGGACAGTGCTTGCACACCGAGTGCAGTGATAGCGGTTTTTAGGGCTTTGTGTTGTCACCAGTAAAAGAGACACTTTGTTAGGTCCAGTGACTGCTACAGGCTGTATGTGAGTTGACCCCACAGTTCTGGAAGGAAGTGTAATTTTAATGAAAAAGTAAGTTTTTCTATGTTGCCATGCTTCTTGCTCATGTCCTCAGTTCTGCCTTTGCAGACTTGTCTGGCTCCTGTTCCTGCTGTTGCCACTGCTCCCACTGCTCCCCTGTGCCCATGGCAGCAGTGGCTGGGGCCAGTGGGAGAAGTAGAAGGATGAGGAGCAGGAGGAATGAGTTTCTCCCTCCGTGTTTCTACAAGGACCTAATGAGCAATGAATACCATAGGATTTATGGCATGGGTGATTTCTATGATGTTCTTAAGAGGAAAGAAAGATCAATTTATAATCAAAACAGTGCAGCTGATTCTGCAACTCACTTCAGTGTGTGAGGATAGCAAATGTGGGCCCTGTATACTGGATTCAGGTTTTTTTGGACACTGATAAAAGGATACCAGTCTCTCCTGAATGAGAAAGAAGCATCCACTGTTGTATTCACGGTTAAAGATTTCATGGGCTTCTCTGTAAAATTACTACATATTTTTCTCCTAGTGAGATTATCTTGTGAAAAACAAGACTAAGGTCACAGAATCATCTTGTTAATGACAACCATAGCAAGAAGGGACATAGGCCCTACCTGAAGAAGTAAGTTACACAGCATGTTGAGCAGTCCTGGCAATATAGAGGTAAGAAATGCTGGAGAAGAAACCCATTTCCTTTCACCCCAGAGCTGCTGCTGTTTCAGCTCTTTTCCCCACTCCACACAGGAGTGAGCACTGACTGTTGAAGGCATTGACACAGTAGAATAGAAAATACTCTGGTGAATTCCTAGATGAGGAAGACATTTCACATCCTTCTAATTTGAAAGCTAGGACAGGTCCAAGAGAAGGAAAAGAGACACCATGCATACCTACCATGTCCAGTGCTGACATGCATGACTTTGGCAAGTGTCTCTTGTCTGCACCAGTATCAAGAGGTAACCTGAATTTTTGTCTCTTGTAACCCTGGAGAGTGTCTCAGTGCACAGTAATGGACAGAAGGCCTGGACCTGCCTGGCTTCAGGTGGTTTTTTTTAAGTTCTCTTGAAACAGTTCCCACAAAAGGTTTTGGTTTTGACAGTCAGCATTTTTCCAATGAAATGGTTTTCTGCTGGAAGATTCCTGACTACCAAGAGGTTCAAGTTTGTCACTCTCAAGCAGGCAGTTATGGGTTCTAAGTACCTTTGAAGACCAACCAACTTTATAGAGCTACTGGAATGCCTGACATTTGCATTTTAAATCTTTCATGTGAGCAGGGTATTTGAGCCAGAGAAAAAAGTACCATCAGTCCTGGGATCCAAGAATCTCTACTTTGTTCCCAAATTATAAGGACATGTAGCTTCTTCTAAACAGCTGAAGTCTTGCGCCTTTCACAAGCTTCTCAAGCCTACCAGCTGGGTCACTGGGATACAATTTTCTGCTTTATGCCACTCATGTGGTTTTGAATCAATAAAACTGGCAACTGTTCAGATTTTAGTATTCTCAATAATGGAAACTAACTGTGAGAGTAACTACTGGCAGGACCCAGTCCTTTATACATCTAGCAATATCCTTTTAATTTTTTAAAGTACCTTCTTTCACTTCCTGCTTCTGGTCCTGACTTTCCATCTCCAAGTCATCCTGTGCTTTTGGCTCCACCATCTCTTCGTCATCTTCATCCTCTAAAAAAAAAAAAAAAAGAAAAAAAAGATTGAAAGATTGTGAGATTCTTCTCCTTAAGGGGTCTGGAAATTGTATGTCTTCTTTACAATTATAAACTGGTAATAAACCCAGGTAAAGCAAAGTGCACAATACATGGAACATCTGCATTTATGTTCAGAGTGACACTCTCAGGCATTTGCCCCCAGAGTGCAAGATACTCTGCTAGCACAGGGCACCTACCACTTCTGCTCCCTGTAGCAACTTCCCATCTCAGATGTCAGCTGAATATCTCCATGACCTCGGAGATGACTTCTTGGATGGCATAAGGACAGATACAATCATGTTTCAGCCTGGCAGCTATTCCACGGTTGGGACACCTGCTATCCAGACACCTAATTTCCAATTCAATTCTCACAAGATTAATTTGTCTTTTGACCTACAGGAAGAGGTTAAATAGAAATCTGACCTCAGGTCAGATGCCACTAGCAAGAAAACAAGCATGGTACAGTTTTGAAAAGTCATCACCATCAACTGGGGGAACACAGCAACCAAAGTGGCATTTGCAGCTTAAGAACCATTCTTGCATTAATATGAATTTAATGAACACTAAAATTTGACACATGTCAGTTACTACTGCCAGATGTTTTAATGACCTTTCCTGACCTATGCAAATGTCTCTCTCCCTTCCCCTCTCTCCCCACACTCACATGTTCTTATTTTATTCAGGAGGGCAAATCATTCACTCCTTGATATTAGTCTGAGGTTAGAAGGGTTCTGATTGTCCAGACCAAAACATAAGCAGAGCTAGAAAGACAGTGATGCACCAAAATGGCTCAAAATCTACTTAACTCTCATTACTTGCTCCCAGCTATAGCAATGTGATCTATTCTCCTGTGCCCAAAGCTGGCACAAAACCTACTCACACTCTTGAGAGGGTAGAGACACCCAGCTTTCTAGATTCAGTGAGCTAGGAGGACTGAAAATAGAGCTGGTCCTAAAAGTATTTGACAATTAGGATGAATAAATCCTTGGGCTATGGAGGAATTATTTTGGAGCGATTTTGGAGCTTGACATACCACTAAGGCATAGCAAGCACAGTGCCCTGTGTTGGTCCATGGCATGAGAGAACATATGTTGTCCTGGCCCTGGGGCATTTAGCTGTCAGGAAAAACACTGCAGTTCCTCCAGGGCTTTCTGAGAAACCTACCTGTCACCACACATGGTACTTCTCCAGGCACACTCCCTGCTCTAACCTGCCTTGTTAACATGGCCTTGAAGCAAACAGGGGGAAAGAGGTCATACTTCTCCAACTACTTAGCTACTGGCACCTTCTCCTGCAAAGGCTGGCTGCAGTCATTCCTGGTTTCTTGAGGAGATGGTGGTGCTGACAGGTTGAATTCAGCAAACAGGAACATGCAGCTGTGTTTTGTTTTCAACAACGTAATAGGCACCATGCTATTCCCACCACGTGGCTTACCCAAGGACTTCTCTCCCAGAAGCCCTCAAGGGACATGTAAGCTGGTGTCTTGGCTAGAGAGCATGGCTTAGCCACATACTGTAAGGAAGTGTCTCATCATGGACAGACATGCTTTTCCCTCTTGGAAAAATGATGAAATCTTGGCATAAGATCTGCCATCGCTCCCCCTACTGCTAGTGACTGTAGTGAGGAGAAAGGGAAAGCTCATCTCTCTAGTCACCAGGGATAATCATGTGCTCCACAGGCTGGGAAGGAAGGAGGAATCCAGTATGGATGAGGAGGTATTTCCGGAATTAAAAGCACTAGTAATGACTGCTACTCCTTTATCAGGGATTTTTCAGACCATGAAACTTGAAGTGTCAGAAAGGCAGGGGGCTCACGGTGCCTCCCTTTGATGCCTTCCCTGACCATTACATTTCCCTAGGTACCCTACATAGAAGGGCTATAGAGAAAAGCTTTTAGAGAGCAAGGCAGGGTGTTCCAGTTTGGCAGGGTAAACACACTGCTCTGTCCGCTGGCTGAAAGACAGATAACATCCGACTCAGTCAGCAGAGTCAGCAAGAGGAGTTCTCCTGCTGTGCACACACAGGACGGGTAAAAAAAGGTCCTTGTGCCATTGGTCTGCAATGCTAGTGGAGATGGGGATGTATGAAAGACAGAGGCACTCCCAGCCTCAAAGAACATATGAGAAGTGTGAGAAGACAGAAGAGTGACTGGCACAGCAGTGCGTGAATACTCTGCTAACCTCAAGTACATATCCATGCACAGATAGGATTGCAACGGTGTACTCATACATGCATACAGACACGCTTATGGCAGATACTAATGAAGCCAACTCCCACAAGAGTTTTGTGAGTCTTGCATTACAAGTTTTCATTCCCTAAAGCACCAGCTCTTGGAGCCAGCTGTTTACATATGGATTTCAGCTTCCATTTTTAACGTGCTTCCAACCTGTCAGCTTGTGCATGGAAGTTTCAGAAGGTGGAGGGTCAAGAAAATATGCAGGCAGCAAAGAAAACCTAAAACAATATTTAATTGAAAGTACTGTGATTTTAAAGGCTTCGTGCTCTGCTTTTAAATGCCTCAATTGTAATTTGGTAATGCATAGGGACAATGTAGCAAATGTAGAACTTGAGATTTAGTAGCAGATTTTCAGATTGAAGTGAAGCAAATTTATCCCTGTCCCCTAGAAGTTCTTGGTCCCCCTGACTTTGGGTGTCAAAGCAGTTGCCTGCCTGTAGCCCATTCCTGCTTCTGAAGTAGAATAGGGGTGAATGGCTGGGGCACAGCTGGAGCAGGGGGGTGTATCAATACTTCAGCACCTATTAAGATAGATCTTCTTTATTTCCCTTCCTTCCTCTTCTAGGAAAAATCAAAACCAAGTTTCCCAAGAGTTCTCTAGATTTAATTGCAGCAGGAACAATCGGTAAAGGTTATTAAAACACATGCCCTGCCTTTTTCCAAGAGCACACACATCAATAAATTAGTTTTACTGAGAAGGCAGTGCAAGAGTTTTTAGAAGATTAGGCATAATTCAGATGTCCTTATTTATTTACAGAGAAATGTATACACATACACAGAGAAACTCAACTAAAAGAATGACAGGGTTGTGAGCCAAATGCTAAAATGTTAGCAAATGCCAGAATTTGGATTGCCTGGGCACGATTAACTCCTTTCCCCTCCCCACATGTAGGCATGATGACATAATTCTGGAATTTCCTCCCTCTTGAGTGGTTGGCTTCATTTTCTGGGTGCTCAACAAGAGACACCTGGAGCCTGAAATGCAGAAGTGCTGAGAGCTGAAGTCAACTGGCCCTGTGCTTTGGGGGAAGAAAGTGCTAGGGAAATTCCACACATGTGAAGGCTCCCACAGCTCACTCTTTCAGCTTTCACTGAAAGTTGTCATTCTGACATTTTTGTCCTTTCTCCCCCTGTGCTTAAGTACTTTTGCATGATGGCAATAATACTGTAAAGCAAATAGAATTCTCATCCTGTATAGATGTATTGCAGAGATAAGTTCATCAGGATTTGGGAGATATTAAGATGCTGTCGTGGAAGCAACAGAGAAAAAAACCTTGGAAGGGGATTAATGTTTTTTGTGTGTTCAGTGTAATACTTGGATCATGTGCACTAACATGAGATCTGAGGCCAGAGCACTGAATGGAATAAGATAAAACCAGAAAGGTTAAAAGCTGCCTCCTATTGACTGACTGAAGCAAGAATTTGTTAAGGAAAAAAACCTACATGTTATCATGTAATTAAAATTGTGTCACCATACATATTCAAAAGGGCTAATTAAGGATGCCCAGGAAACCTGAATTCTGGACTATCCAATGTTTCTTGTCTTTGCAACCTGAATGTTTATTTGCCATATATTTTATATATATATTGCACACTATTTAATGCCAGTGTATGCATACTTAAACGTGTTCATATTACATACATTTGGTATTGCGCCTAAGAATGGTTATGCATTTGTACATTTGACTGCACATACACCTACATTACAGAATAATAAGAAATTCTTCAGCATTCATTTTCCTGTGTATTATTTACATGTGACAAAGATAGCATTTATTGTACATTTACTACAGAATCTGTGAGCATCAACATAGTTGTTTGTTTCCACGTGTGCCCACTCAGATTGGATCTGCCATTGCAGTAATTGTCCAGGGAGATGAAGAAACTTGTGTAGTTCCTGAACACTCCTTTTCCTATTTAAGAGCATATCTGATATTGGGAAATTTAGAAAAATAATTTTTAACTGCTTACATCACAGTAGTAGGAGTCTTCTAGGGATATTTAGCAAACAGAGAGATGCTACCAGCACCAGTAATGTTATGCTGCGCTCAGAAGAGAACAGGGTACAAAATTATCAGAACTCAAATATCTATTAAAGGAACCACATGAAAAACAGCTAGTAATGAAGAAGTGTATAGCAGCTGTGCAACGCTTCTCCTTTGTAGATCTAAAAGGACTTTGCAAGGAGGGCAGTTTAAATGTGCCCATTTACCACACAGATAGATGCACTCACTGTAGATCACTCAGTAGCAGCTGAGGGAAGAAAAGAAAGTGGGCTTCAGAGTTTCAGCCAAGAGTCCTGCCCACTAAGGCCACCCTGCCTTTTTACTGTAAATAAACAAATCCTCAGTGGAAATTATCATTAAATGCTTAGGTTAACAATCTTTGTCTGCTGAAGCTGGTAGAGCCATAAGTGGGATTAATATAGACTGAAATAGCTGGACCTCTTCTTAACTCAGAGCTTGACCCTCCAGGCTCTAAGAGGTGGCCTACCAGTCCTAACAGTGTTTTGTTTGACGTGACAAAGTAAAAGCTGAGCAGTTGTTCTCAGACTGGTCTTAGCTTGAACACTCCTCCTTCTGTTCCAGACCAGAAGTGGTTTTGTCTGTCTAAAAGCTTACCTATTTTTTCAAACTATAGAAGTTACTCTAACAAAAGAGTATGAACTCTACCTACAAACCTGGTTTTATTTCATCTGGGTAAGCTACTAATTTTCGAATGTGACCCAACTACTAGCTCCTT